CCGCCAGCCGTTGGTGGACAGTCGCTTGCGGAGGGTGGAGCGGAGGGGATGGAGGAACATCCCTTCTTCTTCTGAGATTGAGGTCCCAGACGTGCAGCTGAAGTGAGCCTCAGGCCCCTGTCACTTTCCATCTTGTTTGTTGGATAAACTAACTGGAGGTTTTACACTTAAATTTTTACAGCTGTAAAGGGGCATATAAAAAGCCCCATAAAATTGCCTGGATTTATTTGGCTAAGGACTGCACTGGGTACGTTAGCGTCGAAGTCCTTACTCAGCACGCACGCTGCGCCGTTGCTCTCGAGACGAGCTTGCTTGTTTGCCCATGATTTTCACTAATGCAGGTTTTCTTTTTGCTGTATTTTAAACTATCCTAATTGGAAATTTTTGACTTTTGCCTTCAAAGCCTATCTAGGAAAACCCATCTACGGGGCACTGGCTGCTAACATGGGCTTACTGTTGTTCAGCTTATCTTTCCAGCTTGAATGGTTTAATAGGTCAGTCAAGTATTAAAATGGGATTTCCACTTGGATATAAAATCTTTTTTAAAGGGCTTTTTTCCCCCTGCAAACGCTTCATATTCTCTGAATCCTTTTTGCTCTGATTGGAGGTTTTAAAGTTGAATATGATTTCATACTTCTCTTATTTCCTCTGCTTCCCTGATGTTGTCATTGTAAGGCATATGCCAATATTTGAGGGGAATAAATTGATGACTCCGGCTTCTGTTTAGTTTTATGAATCATCTTGGGGTCATATGATCTCAGGAACTGCGTTAGCGCCTTGTGATTTCTGACGGGACTGCAGCCAGCGTGTCACTTGGTGTTGGGCTCTCTTCTCTCTGAATATTCATTGTCAGCATTTGCCAGTTGCTTACTGATTGCAAAACCCGGATTTTCTGGGGCCGTGAAGCAGCAGGGTGATTCGAAGACGACTCACACTCCTCATTTCATGCCAGTGCTTGCCCGAAGTCGCCGTGTGTGGTGGTTAGGGTTTTCTGAACGGCTGTGAGCCATTTCATCCTCTTACTGTAGGAAGAAATCCCGCACATCTCCGTGTGTCCCAGTCAGTCAGTGCAAGGCAAAGGAGGGACTTTTGTTTTCATCTTTGGTTTTCCGTAGTTCTCCCAGTTTGGGGAAAGCTGAGCGGAGGACTGGGCAGTGCCCAAGGCTGTCAGTGGTCAAAGATGTCACATCTCTGCCGGCCCCAGGAGATCCACCCACTTGGAAACCCCTGTCAGCCCTGAATAGCAGAGCTGCTGGGGGCCTGGCAACCCCCACCTGGGCTTTGCCCACAGTTTCTTTCAAAAGATGGGCCAAAATGAGACTAAGCAAGCAAAAGTGGTGGAAGAAATCTTTCCTCATTTGCCCAAGAGTTTTTAACTGTTATGTATTTGCCAGGGGAATGGTAGAGTGAGGAATTAGTGTCAGGAGAGCACAGGCATCCTTCACTTTGGGTGGAAGGCACTGGGCATGAGCTGTGCCTGCAGGCTGATACTCGGGAGCTGGCATGGAGCAAGCGCAGGCTTCCGTGCTGGTGTGTCCATCCTTCGGGGACGAGCCCACCTTTAGGTCTGCAGCCACGAGCACACAGCGGTGACAGACCGGGGCACCTCATGCAAAACTGTGGTTGCACATCATGTTTTAGTACAAGCTCAAACACGGCGTGTGTGTGTGATTCTGAGAGTTAACACGATGTGACTTGGGCGAGCTGCTGAAGACATTCGTTCACTGCTCTTAGATGGCTTTCCCTTCCTCTCTTCCATCTTTTATTTTCTGTAAGGTGAACACAATATGCTAAACGATTGGACCAGATTAGGTTTATCTGCAGACATTTCCCTTCGAGCTGTGGTGCGTGGCCGTTTCTCATCCCTCTGCCCGCCTTCGGGTGGGAAGAGACATTTATTATATAGAAAATGTTATATTATTTGTCTCTTCTCTCCTTGCAGGTGTTTACAAAATATGGGAAATGCTACATGTTTAACTCAGGAGAAGAAGGACGGCCTCTTCTTACCACGGTTAAGGGTGGGACAGGCAATGGACTGGAAATCATGCTAGACATACAGCAGGATGAATATTTGCCAATATGGGGAGAAACAGGTAAGGCCTTCCTTTTCCTCCTGCAAACATGTTTGTACTGCTGGTGGTTTGTTTTTTTGAAAGACCATCCCAGCCTCCCCAGCTGATTTCTAAATTTAAAGCTCCTGAAAGCAAGAGGAGCGCAGTCTGTGGGGAAACAAGTTGCTTTCCTTCTCGGTGTCTGCAGCTGCCATCTGGGACCAGCATGTCCTTAGTTCAGAGAGGGCTGGACTTGGGTGTCTCGGCACCAATTATTGGGATGTCAAACAGGAGTGTCATCACCTCTCCTGGGACAGGAGCGGGCACTTGTGGGTGACAAGAGGTGTGGTGTCATCTTTGGGTGCCCCAGCACGTCCTCCTTCCCTAGAAAGGCATTTTTGGGAGGCTGTGTGCAAGGTGGACCTCCAGTTGCTGTCTGTGTTTTCCTTCTTGAAATGTGGGGACATTCATTGGCCTAATTGCTGTCTTTGCATGGGTTAGTGCTGCTTGGGCGGAGCAAGGGTTTGGCTGATTGTGCTTGGAGTGTTTGGGGTGCATGACATCCGTCCCCTAACAAACCCAGCCAGGTTGGGTGTCTTCTGAAGAGCTGACGTGCTGCACTCCAGCCCTGTCGTCCTGGCACGGAGAGGGGCAGAAGGACCAGAAAGGCTGGGGCTGTGTCTCAGCTCTTGTGGGTTGGGATGGCAGCGCTTGGAGTGGACATGGAAGCGCTGCCTTCTGCAAGGACAGCTCAGGCAGCTCCCGTTGTCCCGACCGAGCTCCCATGGAGGAAGTTTTGGCACCGCTGGTGCCAGTGTCTTTAACGGACCCTGCCACAGAAACGACAGGTAGGAGGCTGGGCTCTGAAAAGGGATGGCATGGCCAGGGGACAGCATGGGGACTGACAAGTGCCACCAAAGCCACCCATTTAGAGCCTTATCAGTTCTTCAGCAGTGGCGGCTGCAGTTTTCATGAACCCATGTTGACATTTTAAACAAAACATCCAAAAACAAATGTTGGAAAAATTGCCAGCTGCTCTGTTTCTCTGGCAGTTGCAAGAGTGTTGTGGTGGGTGTTTTTCAGGAAAAGGTTGTCTGTGTTTATTTTTGGGTAACAGAAAAGGGAGAGAAGCAAATATCACTTAAGGTTTTGTGTCGCTGTCGCTCTGTCATTCTGTGCAAATGAGCTCTTTTGAACACCTTTCAAACTTCCGCTCAATAGAAAAGAGGAGAGTTGGTTGCATTCATTCAGAACTTAAAATTTATTTGTGTGGTATTTGATTCTTAAAATTTAAACAGATTCCCACAGTCCCATCAATCACTTAAAATTGCACAGGCTTCTGTAGCAAGGGCTTTGCCTTCCATTTTTTAGCTCGTACTCAGAGCCAGCCTGATCTGGCCTGGGTGAGGGGGAGGTGACAGTGGTTTGAAATAATAATTTCTGATGCGTTGCATTTGTTTGAAGTCTTGTCCTTTTGAAGGCAAAGTAGGTTCACAACACAGAGTGGGAAGATGAAGCATTTTCTGCCTCTGATGCTTTGTCGCTTACAGGCTGCCTTGGGGGAGTGTGTGGAGGCACCAAACCACCACGTTGATGTCTTGGGGATGTAGCAGGCTTGCGTGGCCACGCCACAAGCTCTGTGTCCAACCTCACTGGGGGTTTTGGAACCCTCTGAGGTTCCCCAAGGAGACTCAGACCTTGTGTCACACCATCCTTGCTTTAGGCTTGCTTTTTGGAGACACTTTAGGAGGAGCCCATCCAGGAATGCAAGAGAAAGAAGAGGCCTGTGGAGAAGTGGGCTGGGAAGACAAAAGATGGAGGAGGATCAAGCAGGCCTCACTCTTGCCATCTGGCAGGGAATCTGGACCAGAGAGCCTGTGGCAGTGGGGAGGAGGTTTCCCCATGTCTATAAGCATTGCTGTCGTCCTGTGGTTAGGTGGGATGGCAGCTTCTGCTCTGGTCGCTCTCTTCAGACAACCTTCAATCCCTGTATTGTGGCAGAGGCACTTGAAACCCGGTCACGGCTGTGGACTTGAAACCTGACGGGGAAAGAAAAGCAAGCCCAAGTCCATTCATTTTTTTCCAAAATCTTGTGACTTCTACGGTCTTTGGAGTCCAGATTTGACTTTTCACCACATGTGGAAGGGAGCAATGCATCCCTTTGATTTTAAAGATGCCTCTGATGATGCCCTGTCCCCCATGACTTCACCACTGCTGATCTCATGCGTATTTAACTTAAGAGTGTACTCAGCAGATCAGAGGCGTAGGGAGGGATTCACATGTCCCTAGAACCGAGCTGATGTTATGGGGCTGGATTGCGCTGGGATGGTTGTTAAAGTCTCTACCTGACCATGAAATGCTGTAAGAGTCAAAGCAAATGTATATAAATAGGGCTCTTGATTTGGTTAAATGGTGTAGGAGAAGCTCCTGGACTTGTTGCAAGCAAATTTGGCCGTGTTCTTACAGGTCCAGGTAGAACTGGTACTTGACTTTGTAGCTCATAAAACGTTAATCTTTGCCTTTCAACAAGGGACTTCTTTATCCTCCGCGTTCGTACAGCGCCTCGTACAAGCTGTCTTCAATCTTCATTGAGCTCTCTGGACACTACCAGAATAAAAATATTAACTATAGTGGTTAATAGTTGCTGTTCCCATGGAAACACTTAACTCAGCTCTTGGTAGGTAAGTGAAAGAGTTGATGATTTCCAAATATTTGCATAATAATGTAAACGTGTTTGGAATTAAATCTCCTCAGCTGCTTCCAGTGGGACTACACAAACTTGGCTCTCCAGTGAACAGCTCTGTCAAGGGCGCACAGCTCTTCGCAGTGATCTCAACCCTTGTTATGGAGAGGGAGGGGGGCAGGCATGGGGGGAGGATTTCACATTGTAGTACCAAAGCCACGTGTAGCCGTGGAAACGTCCAGCCGTGGCGTACCTTCAGTAAGGAAGTAGTTGAGTTTTTCATTCCCAGTGAGTGAATGTCTCCATTGCAACCTGAACTGTTCCATTCACTCCTTATCTTCAGATATCTCTGGTTTTGCTGCTTCATTTTCCCAGTAGCCATCCTGTACCCAGCAGCTGCTCTTTTCTTTGCCTCCAAGGCGATGATTTTTGTCTGGTTGAGTTCCTTGGACTTTTTTCTCCAGTTTGCAACTTCCCCATCATCCCTCAGACATGGCTGCTCAAACCATTTCCTTTCCCAGCTGGTTGACTCACATTAATCCAGGTTTTCCCAGAGCTGTCTGGAGTTGTCCCTGCCGAGCTGCTGTCTCCAACATGGTGTTACACACTGTGAAAGGCTTCACAGATGCTGTAAGTGCACTAACCTCTGTCACTGCAGGGAGGTCTTCACATGGAAAAATAGGCATTTCTCTGGCCCATCGTGGTGGCCTTGTCCTGTGCTTCCTGTAGGGATCTGTCCCAGTAAAAACAGTCACCCAGAGAGCCCTCCAGCCCCCAGTTCACTGCCTCTCCATCCCAGCAGTGACTGGGACACCCCATGGGACCTTTTGCTCTTGTCCCCCAGGTCCCTCAGACCCTGGTTGGCACAGAGCAGTTGTGTTTCTCTTGGATGCAGGGATGATTTTCATCAGTGCCAAGGTCAAACAGTGGCATCTTGTTCTGTCTTTAGTTCCGTAGCTGCTTCTCTTTTTGCTGCAGATTTGGAGATGCCGTATTCTCCTTCACAGCCCCTCCTGAAAATAGTTGGCGCATGGACTCAAAAATCCTCATTTGTTGCTGGCTGCATGCCTCAGGATCTCTGCTTTCTTTTTTAAACTGTTCTTTGCAATTCAAATAAGAAACAAAGAAGGAAAATACCGGTTCGTAGCTTGGGATAGGGCTGCTGCAGGAGCTGCCGCCACCATGTCACATTGGCATATGCTTCGTAATACAAAAGGTGATTTAATTGTTACTGACTGGGCAAACAAAATGAAGGGCATTGTCATTCTGAAGAGACCTTTACTGAGTATCCATTAGTATCTTGGGAAGCTGGAATACCTTGTCTATGAAGTTGCTTGGAATAGAAGAATATACCTTTTGCTTGGCTGTCTGCATATGCAAGCCCATTATTTGAACATGTTAAAATTTATGTGCAGTCTAAATTTGGAATAGCGAGTGTACACAGACTGCTTCAGTCTTGATTTTCAAGTGCAAAGAAAAGGGTATTTTGACTGTGTCTGGATGTCATGGCATCAGGCAGCCTTGCCGTCTTTGGGTGTGCAAAAATATTGTGTCAGGACTGTCAAATCATGAGGCGTGTGGAAAAAAAATGATGATAAAAAGAAAAAGAAATGGAAATCTCTGTCTTCTGAATTTTGCACTTCTAGAAGTCATATTTTCTAGCATTTTACTTTAACCATGAAGGTACTAGACATGAAAAGAGTAGGAAAATAATTTGTGGCTGAAGGCTTCACATCACCCACATGCTTTAAAGAAAGCCTTAAATATTCCAGGCAAAACAACCCCCTAGCAATCCTGCACAGGGATAAAATGCAAGATGGAAATAATTTATACCAGGGAAAACTCTTTCCAGTAACTGAGGGGGAAACAGCAAACCCCGGACTTGGAGCAGTGTAGGTGGAAGCTGCAGCCAGTCGTGTATATGGCAGGGAGTCTCCCAAATTCTGCGGTTACGCATCTTTGTCTCACAAGGTTAGGTGCTGGGGAGTGGTGGGGCTGCGGAGGTGTTTGTTTTATTGCACTTGATAAGGAAAGTGGCAGAAATGCTATCAAATATAGTAAAAGAAGCTAATTTATAGTGGAGACTCTTTGATTGGAAAGGGAATCCACTTCTGGTTAATCTTTCTGGAGTGGCCCAGGGTATTATATATTGACCTAATATAGCATCACAGTAAATTGGAAATCACTCGGGCTACAGGGCTGTAAATAAGAAGTACAGTCAGCGAGTTCTGTGTTTGTGTTTCAGGACTTGTTGGATAAAGATGAACATTTCATACCAATTAATCAAGTAACACGCTGAATAAAAATAAGAAGATGCGAACCACACTATAAAATTGCACTAAGAAGCGGCATGAAATCT